ATAAACTCCCTGTGCCACACACACCCCATACATACATCAGTCTATCTAAGACAATAAACTCCCTGTGCCACACACACCCCATACATACATCAGTGTATCTAAGACAATAAACTCCCTGTGCCACACACACCCCATACATACATCAGTGTATCTAAGACAATAAACTCCCTGTGCCACACACACCCCATACATACATCAGTCTATGTAAGACAATAAACTCCCTGTGCCACACACACCCCATACATACATCAGTCTATCTAAGACTCTAAACTCCCTGTGCCACACACACCCCATACATACATCAGTCTATCTAAGACTCTAAACTCCCTGTGCCACACACACCCCATACATACACCAGTCTATCTAGGACCCTAAACTCCCTGTGCCACACACACACCCCATACATATATCAGTCTATCTAAGACAATAAACTCCCTGTGCCACACACACCCCATACATACATCAGTCTATCTAAGACAATAAACTCCCTGTGCCACACACACCCAATACATACATCAGTGTATCTAAGACAATAAACTCCCTGTGCCACACACACCCCATACATACATCAGTCTATCTAAGACAATAAACTCCCTGTGCCACACACACCCCATACATACATCAGTGTATCTAAGACAATAAACTCCCTGTGCCACACACACCCCATACATACATCAGTGTATCTAAGACAATAAACTCCCTGTGCCACACACACCCCATACATACATCAGTCTATGTAAGACAATAAACTCCCTGTGCCACACACACCCCATACATACATCAGTCTATCTAAGACTCTAAACTCCCTGTGCCACACACACCCCATACATACATCAGTCTATCTAAGACACTAAACTCCCTGTGCCACACACACCCCATACATACATCAGTGTATCTAAGACAATAAACTCCCTGTGCCACACACACCCAATACATACATCAGTTTATTACTTGCCCGTGAAGAGATCACCCGTTTAATAAACATATAGCTTTATTACACATTGTGTAATACCAAAACGCGTGCTTATGTACTCTCGGAACACGTTTCACGAACAAATATTGAAAGCTCTCAACATCTCTTGGCTTATTCAACGACATTGCGTGTGGAGTTGATAGATCACTGAGAGGAGCTTATGCACACTCGATGACCCCAGCAACCTTGACAACCTTGACACACCCCATACATATCAGTTTATCTAGGACCCTAAACTCCCTGTGCAACACACACCCCATACATAGATCAGTCTATCTAAGACCCTAAACTCCCTGTGCAACACACACCCCATACATAGATCAGTCTATCTAAGACCCTAAACTCCCTGTGCAACACACACCCCATACATACATCAGTCTATCTAAGACCCTAAACTCCCTGTGCAACACACACCCCATACATACATCAGTCTATCTAAGACCCTAAACTCCCTGTGCAACACACACCCCATACATAGATCAGTCTATCTAAGACCCTAAACTCCCTGTGCAACACACACCCCATACATACATCAGTCTATCTAAGACCCTAAACTCCCTGTGCAACACACACCCCATACATACATCAGTCTATCTAAGACCCTAAACTCCCTGTGCAACACACACCCCATACATACATCAGTCTATCTAAGACCCTAAACTCCCTGTGCAACACTCACCCCATACATACATCAGTCTATCTAAGACCCTAAACTCCCTGTGCCACTCACACCCCATACATACATCAGTCTATCTGAGACCCTAAACTCCCTGTGCAACACACACACCAACCATACATCAGTTTATCTCAGACCCTAAACTGCCTGTGCCACACAAACCCCATACATACATCAGTCTATCTAAGACTCGAAACTCTCTGTGCCACACACACGACAACCATACATCAGTGTATCTAAGACCCTAAACTCCCTGTGCCACTCACAACCCATACATATATCAGTCTAAACCCTTGTGCCACACACACCCCATACATATATCAGTCTAAACTCCTTGTGCCACTCACACCCCCTAAATTCATCAGTCTATCTAAGACCCTAAACTCCCTGTGCAACACACACCCCATACATAGATCAGTCTATCTAAGACCCTAAACTCCCTGTGCCACTCACAACCCATACATATATCAGTCTAAACCCTTGTGGCACACACACCCCATACATATATCAGTCTAATCTCCCTGTGGGTTCGATCCCGGGCCGCGTCATACAAAAAGACGTTAAAAGATTGTACTTGTTGTTACCCTGTCTGGCGCTCGGCATTAAGGGGCTAAAACAAGGACTGGTCGGCTCGGAGTCAGTATACTGTGTCTGAGTGAGGTATTCATGTTAAACTGCGGCATGGTATCTCAGTGAGCTAGCACTATAAATCGGCATCAGTCCGGACTAGTACAAGCAGCCACACACACACATACACGTGCATGCACGTCGCTATATAAGTGCAATAATCTTGGACGCGACGTTAAACCCAATTTCACCTCACCTCACCTCTAATCTCCCTGTGCCACACACACCCCATACATATATCAGTCTAAACTCGCTGTGGAACTTACACCCCATACATATATCAGTCTATCTAAGACTCGAAACTCTCTGTGCCACACACACACCAACCATACATCAGTCTATCTAAGACCCTAAACTCCTTGTGCCACACACACCCTATGCTTATATCAGTCTATCTAAGACACTAAACTCCTTGTGCCACACACCCCCCATACATACATCAGTCTATCAAAGAATCTAAACTCCCTATGCCACTTACACCCCAAAGATATCAGTTCATCTAAGACTCTAAACTCCCAGTGCCACACACACCCCATACATATTTCAGTCTAAACTCCCTGTGCCACTCAAACCCCATACATACATCAGTCTATCAAAGAATCTAAACTCCCTTTGCCACTTACACCCCAAAGATATCAGTTCATCTAAGACTCTAAACTCCCAGTGCCATACACACCCCATACATATATCAGTCTCAACTCCTTGTGCCCCACACACCCAAAAGATATATCAGTCTATCTAAGACTCTAAACTCCCTGTGCCACTCACAACCCATACATAAATCAGTCTATCTAAGACTCTAAACTCCCTATGCCACTCACACCCCAAACATAAATCAGTCTATCTAAGACCCTAAACTCCCTGTGCCACTCACACCCCAAACATAAATCAGTCTATCTAAGACCCTAAACTCCCTGTGCCACTCACACCCCATACATATATCAGTCTATCTAAGACTCTAAACTCCCTGTGCCACACACACCCCATACATAGATCAGTCTATCTAAGACCCTAAACTCCCTGTGCAACACACACCCCATACATAGATCAGTCTATCTAAGACCCTAAACTCCCTGTGCAACACACACCCCATACATACATCAGTCTATCTAAGACCCTAAACTCCCTGTGCAACACACACACACCAACCATACATCAGTTTATCTCAGACCCTAAACTCCCTGTGCCACACAAACCCCATACATACATCAGTCTATCTAAGACTCGAAACTCTCTGTGCCACACACACACCAACCATACATCAGTGTATCTAAGACCCTAAACTCCCTGTGCCACTCACAACCCATACATATATCAGTCTAAACCCTTGTGCCACACACACCCCATACATATATCAGTCTAAACTCCCCGTGCCACTCACACCCCCTAAATTCATCAGTCTATCTAAGACCCTAAACTCCCTGTGCAACACACACCCCATACATAGATCAGTCTATCTAAGACCCTAAACTCCCTGTGCCACTCACAACCCATACATATATCAGTCTAAACCCTTGTGGCACACACACCCCATACATATATCAGTCTAATCTCCCTGTGCCACACACACCCCATACATATATCAGTCTAAACTCACTGTGGAACTTACACCCCATACATATATCAGTTTATCTAAGATTCTAAACTTCCTATGCCACTCACACCCCATACATATATCAGTCTATCTAAGACTCGAAACTCTCTGTGCCACACACACACCAACCATACATCAGTCTATCTAAGACCCTAAACTCCTTGTGCCACACACACCCTATGCTTATATCAGTCTATCTAAGACTCTAAACTCCTTGTGCCACACACACCCCATACATACATCAATCTATCAAAGAATCTAAACTCCCTATGCCACTTACACCCCAAAGATATCAGTTCATCTAAGACTCTAAACTCCCAGTGCCACACACACCCCATACATATATCAGTCTCAACTCCTTGTGCCCCACACACCCAAAAGATATATCAGTCTATCTAAGACTCTAAACTCCCTGTGCCACTCACAACCCATACATAAATCAGTCTATCTAAGACTCTAAACTCCCTATGCCACTCACACCCCAAACATAAATCAGTCTATCTAAGACCCTAAACTCCCTGTGCCACTCACACCCCATACATATATCAGTCTATCTAAGACTCTAAACTCCCCGTGGCACACAAACACACTAACCATACATCAGTCTATCTAAGACCCTAAACTCCCTGTGCCACTCACAACCCATACATAAATCAGCCTATCTAAGACTCTAAACTCCCTGTGCCACATACACCCCGTACATATATTCAGAACCAGATTATATGCCTGTACAGTACCTATACACCATTCCTAGAATTATCAAGGAACAAGGACTATCATCACTCTGAATTCATTTGTTGATACTTGATAGATATCACTGTCCTCCTTTGGAATATGGCCGTTGATAATGACCAACGTACTTCACTATATGTTTGCGTGTTGTATTTACTCAAAAAGAGACATTGTCTACTACATAGAGATGGCATTAGCTAACTTCAATGTGTGAAACTTTGACATACAAGGCTTTATCAATGCCGTATTCTATTGTTTGATATTAGAAAAGCACAGCAGACAGTAAATGCCAAATAAATCCGCCCCTTTCCTAAGCTAGTATATGACTTATGACAAGTGTATGACATCTGTGTACAGCTAGGTTGACTACCATGAGGCACATACTCAGTTGTACTCACAGTGCTGGCGTGTAACAATCTAGGATGTCCCCACACAACAGCTTGCTCCTTCTCAGTACGAGCTACAGCGTAAACCTCCTCGTTAGACCCTGTTCCCTCGCCCACTGCCAGGCTCTGCACTGGTGTCTCCCTCCTTCCCTTGCTCGTGGCCACACAAGGAAGACCCTATTAGCGAGTTGCATGCATGCAATAACTGCATTATACAATCTCTGTGAATATTGGTTTTTGCACACAAAGCAATCGTGTAAGTGATACAGCGATGAGCAGTGGGAACAACACCTTTAGCTGTTATTGTGATTGTGCTTGAAGAATGTCATGATTGTGCATGAAGAATGTCATGATTGTGCATGAAGAATGTCATGATTGTGCATGAAGAATGTCATGATTGTGCATGAAGAATGTCATGTGTGAAGAATATCAATGATTGTGCTTGAAGAATCTTAGCAATTGTGCTTGAAGAATGTTGTTTATTGTGTGCGGAGAATGTTGGCAATTATGTTTGAGGAATGTTGGTGATTGTGCTTAAAAAAATGTTGGTGATTATGTGTGAAGAATTTTTAGGTGATTGTGTGTGGAGAATGTTGATGGTTGTGCTTGAAGAATGTTGGTGATTGTGCTTGAGGAACGTTGGCAATTATGTTTGAAGAATGTTGGTGATTGTGCTTGAGGAATGTTGGCAATTATGCTTGAGGAATGTTGGTGATTGTGCTTGAGGAATGTTGGTGATTGTGCTTGAGGAATGTTGGTGATTATGCTTGAGGAATGTTGGTGATTATGCTTGAGGAATGTTGGTGATTGTGCTTGAGGAATGTTGGTGATTGTGCTTGAGGAATGTTGGTGATTGTGCTTGAGGAATGTTGGTGATTGCACTCGATTGGTGATACATCGATGCAGAACTATACACTGCTACTGTCATGATGATATCCAGTGTATGAACACTAATGTTTAGAATGATCTGCTGTATTGAACTTGACAAACAATCACAAACAATTCTTGCCAAGCATGCACAGTTGCCTACAATTAGCACGCTCATTCATCATGTGTGCAAGGACTTTATTGATCCCAAAATGATTCATGTGGGTTGAATATGTTGAAAACAGAAAATGTAAGGTACGTATGTCAAATTGTAACATTCTTTTGTATTTCTTTTTGACAATGTCAAAGTGAGCATATGTCATGCATGATCATCTGTCATCCATCTTCCATCCATCCATCTCCCATCCATCCATTAGCACTGGACCCTTTTTCAGAACTATTATATATATATCAATATCGTACCGTGAACGCTGAGCAACACTTGGCTAATAGCACAGTGATTATTAGAGGACAGTTTTCTCTATAAAAGGGATGAGCAATTAGTCGGGTGATATTACGGTAGTTAAAGAGCATGACACAGACAGGCCTGGGCAAATATTGGAAGCAAAACAGATTTAGAGAAATTTCAATTATGATGGTTCAAACCCTTTCTAATCTCTCCTCCGATCATACGTCATATGACTGTTCATTATTACTAAGATATAATGGTGAATTCCCACTGTTTTCATTGGCCAAGAAGTAATCACATGACTGCTGAAAGATGTGCATTTTGACTCCTCCCAGGTTACGATATTGACTTGAGTTACTAAAAATAGCAGGAAAACCCCAGGACTCAGGTAGCCCTTGATTTTCAACCTTTAGTAGAGACCCCTGGGCTTGACGTTCCTAAGAACGAAAACATGGTGTCTGCATCGAATATCAATCCTAACCGTTACGCTGATGTATATCCTATTAATGTGTTGTAATGGATAATATTAGAGTGAACAATAACAAATGATCTACTTCAACTGTGGTGAAGATCTACTTCAACTGTGGTGAAGATCTACTTCAACTGTGGTGAAGATCTACTTCAACTGTGGTGAAGATCTGTAGGGAGTATTTAGCTCAGAGAGAAAGCTCAGAAACTTTGAAAAAATTTCAATCGAAGAACTGGACAGAACACTAGTGAAACGAGAACCCAGGAAGGCGATTATTACTAGAAAGTCACTCTGGTAGCCTGTCGACATGGTAATCAACAACACCTTGCACATGCAAGACATTTAAGATATAGAATTTTTTCGAGGAAGTGGATGCAAGGAATCATCAAAAACTATCAAAGGCATGGGAAAAGAAGTGAACAAGGACTGTCACATCATGTGCTCTTTTATCATTACTTTGGGGGTGTATTTTGGTAGGGGTAGATGTCAACCTTAATACTGGAACGGGTCGCCCAAACACACCATTTTGACATGTGAAAAGCATGCATCTTGTCTCTGACTTTATTATATAACGCCATGTCATAGAAGTTTAAAGACACAGTTGATCTTTCACTTCGTGAGACCTGTCTAGGAGAAAGGCTTTTGTGAGTATAATATAGTGTTATTTTAAGGATAAATATGTGGAATGGTTTCTTCCTGTTTAATTGTAAATAAGGGTTGGTTTGCCAAAAAGATTGTCCGTCATGGAAATGTAGCCTCTTATATATACTGAACCGCAAAAGAAACATCACCATGGATAGATATATGAGAAACCTTATTTGTCCAAACACTGTAAACACTTTGAGACATATTAAAAAGATGAAACTTGGCAAAACTGATCATCAAGATTGAAATTAAAGTCTCAAATGTTCTAAAAGTGAAACACAACACCAGTCTCTATGAAAATGGCATCACAAGTCAGTATCTCAGGTGTCCGCCATGTGCATTGATGACTGCCGTGCAACATCGATACATGGAATGGATGAGGCGGTTGATGAAGGCCATAGGCACTTGAGCCCACACTCCGAGGAACGCCTGACGCAGTTCAGCTGCAGTTGTCGTCCTTGGTTGGACGTCGTTCAGCCGTCTTTTTATCTCGTCTCACAGGTGCTCAGTGGGATTTAAATCGGGGACTGTGGGCAAGCCACTGCATGGTTCTGATGCCATTCTGCTGGAGGAAGTCTCTTGTTGCTCTCGCAGTGTGGGCGTTATCATGCTGAAACTCCTGGTTGCAGCGACGTGCCAAATGAGGTATGGTGTGTGGTCTCAAGACTTGATTGATGTACCGAGCTGCTGTGACACCATTGCACCTCCCTGGACCTATGTTCTGGAAGACCACAGTGCCAACCCTCTGTGCAAGACAGATTCCACCCCACACCATGATGCTCAGACCACCCCACGAGTCTCTCTCAACAACACAAGCATCCGAATAACGTTCCCCACGGCTTCGCCAGACTCTCTCTTTTATCTGCTGTTGAGATACAGTAATGGCACTTGTCTGAGAAGATGACGTGGTGTCAGAATGGGTCCTCGGTGTGGCCTGTGACAGTGGAGGTGTCTGCTCGTCAATCGTCGACGCACGGTGTCCGCACTAATGTGTCTCTGGTATGTCCAGATGGTCTGTCGGGCAGTTTCCGCTGCAGTAACAAAGCGATCTTGAAGATGCAGTCGCAGAATCTGACAATCCTGACGTCGGGTGGTGACCCTTGGTCTTTCATTACGTATTTGGTCATCTGTAGTGTTGTGGTCTGGTACCGTTGCTGGAGCCTGGAGCCTGGAGCCTGGAGCCTGGAGCCTGGAGCCTGGACCCTGGACTTGAAATGCATTGGCTACTTGCCGGGCCATTTGTCCAGCTTGCAATCGTCCAAGGGCTTGGTGTCGCTGATTTCTTGTCAATCTTGGCATGTGGTAGCAATTCAATAACAAATGAATGTTATCCGATCTGGGTAGATTTGTATAGGGCAAGAAATGGGGGAACGCATGTGCATTTCAATTTGCACGGAACAGTAGGAACAGTGTCTGTAGTGACTATACTGCTTGTCTGTGTAAAACAAAGGAGAACTCTCAACACTTATATTTTGTAATACATGTATACTGAACTGCAAAAGAAACATCACCCCACGTAACATTGCATGAAAAGTTGTCATTTAAATATCTGGGTAATTTTTGTCAGTTTCTAAAATTTAAATAAAATTTGATGATAAAAAAACAAAGGCGGATGACAATAAAAACCGATCACCCAAACGCATCACCACAACGGCCATGGTAACCCGATGAACTCGAGTTCTGTGCAAATTGAAATGCACATGCGTTTTTTCAAATATTTATCCATGGTATATCTATCCAGTATATTATCAATGACAAGTCATGCCGAGATGTTCTGCCACACACTGTGGAACATCCTATACTGGTCCATGATGTACTTACTGACTTCTTTAGGGATATTAACTTACATGACATTTTGAAGTGTGTGCCGATTCTTGAGACAGCTACCATCAAAGGTTTTCATGTTCAAAATCATGCAAGAAACAGTTCCATGTTTCAAATACCTGTGCCTGTTATGACCAGCTGCTGTGCCAAGCCAGTACGACTTTTGCGTGTGTTTGCATTCCCGACACTGCAATATCATAACAAGGCAATAGAATGCTGCCATCACACTTCGTTAGACTGTGAATCCAGTTTTCTTGGAAACACACAGTTTAGATAGTCAATTTCTACTTGGAAACATATAGTTTAGGTAGTCAATTGATAAATGTCATTAAGTGGGTGTATAATTTCATATTGGCCTTGTTATAGGTCTCGGCTTGAAGCAGGCAGTATTTGCTGGAAGCACAATAGTATGACTTGACCTTGAATCTGTAACATGGCGACTATGAAAACACCAATGTAATAACTTAATATCATTGACATTCAGAAAAGTCTATACTTTACATTGTATAATATTATGCTAACATTTCATTGATCTCTTCTCACAACCATTAAGTAGCAACAGCTGTTAACAAAGAAGTTGAAAGAAATATCATTACAGACCTTCAATAAAATGATTATAAATAATCCGTTCTTTTTAATTCATGTATTGTGAAAAATATGTGTATAAACTTACGAAAGTGTGAAAATGTAAACAAGGTTGATAATCTGCCTCTTGCTTGCTGGGGCTGACGGGTAGAACACTAGAGTACCTGTTTCTGACAAGTATCAAACTTAATTTAGCAAATGTTAAAACTATCCTAATAACTTCTCTTTTCTTATACTGTATAAGAATCTGAAGAATGACAATATCATCTCAAAGACAACGTGAAACAAATTTCAATTTCTGTTATCTAACCTCAGTGGTAAGTTTGACAATATGTGACAATTTGGTCTGGATGACAGTTATCTTTAAGAGGCATACTGTTATATTTACTAGTATGAGAAACTGAGATGCAGGAGAATAGTTTACAGCCAGACACCTCCAGCCTTCCACAATCTAGCCCAAAGATAATGTTTGTTACTTCCACAATCTTTATTATTATTTATGCTTACAGCATGAATATGGATGGGTTTTTAATTCATCTTATGAAATAACATATCTATTATTTTATCCAATAGGTATGAATGGTTTTCAGACATAGCATCATGTAATTTGGATTGAGTTTAGCCAATCCTATGAAGGTGATACATCCTGCCCCATCAAAACCAGAAACCAAGAGCATAAAACTTCCACCATCAAATCAGACAGTAATTAAATCAGCTACTCAGACCATATCAGCACCAGCCCCAATCACAACATGAACTGGGACAATGTCCACACCCTCTCCAACAATCTTCATGACTTTCACTTAAAGAAACAGAAACACTGTCCACATTGGCCTCCACAAGCCATTAGTCAACAGACCAAGGCCATTTCATCCCATCCACCTACTTTGAACTCATTAAGCAATAATCACCCAGCCTTAATATACTTAATCCTGTTTTATTGGCTTCCTCCTTATGTGTTCTCTGTCCATCGTATTTGTTCCAGTATTATCCTTCTGTTATCATTACTTAACCTACTCATGTTAATCTCTCTCATGAATGCAATTGTTGCTACTGTTAAACCTCTATTGTTAATCCTCCATTGTTAATCCTCCACCTACAATATATATTCTGCACCAAGTTTATCATTCAGCCTTATCTTGACAACAGTATAAGGATCTATACTGAAACGTTGGCAAAAGAGTAAAATAAAGAAGTTCTTATCCATACATTTGTAAATCCTACGTTATATATGCATTGCTCTGCTGGTTGAAACTTAGGAGGATTTCCTGTCCAATAGTTTCTGTTTTCTGTACCAAAACCATGTTTTATTTTGACCGAGAGTTGAGGTCGATTTGTGCTGAATACTAAAATGTTTCTTTGTGCACTAGGTTGGATGAACATGCTGTGTATCTTGGTAGTTTCTTTGTAGCCGTTTCAAGGGAAAAGTGTGACCACACAGTGCTGGAATATTTTTCTTCTATTTTGTTGGTCTGCCATGGCCAGGTGTATAGCTAACAAAACTTATCTGTTCTTGTTCACAAATTTTATTTAGAGTTATCTAACTTCCTAGGTTAGTTGAGTCCTTGAAACAGAGTCCCTTTGTACCTGACCTGTTGTACCTGACCCGTTATTGGTACTTGAGTACCCGTCCTAGCCATAGTGCTTGCCAAGGACAGGTTAAATATGTTGAATGAAAAAATGTTTGACAGAAATACAACCTTTCATTTCAAAATAAACATACATCTAAAACAATTAGAATTGATTAATTTAAAGGTGTATAGGACTTTGAGATTGATTCTGTTGATTTACAAAAAACAATTTTATGATTTTATTTCTGTTTGGAGTACACAACCAGTAAGTTTACAGAATATAGTTCACATGCAATCTTAAATACATACAAGTTTCAGTGTATATCGATGGATAATAACAAATAAAACTATTCCAGTGTCAGGATGCTAAGACATCTTCGTTGGATTGTGCAAGTTCGTGGGTTTACACGAATTGGTGGTGACAAAGTGACCAAAATTTCATGAACTGTGTGTATTTACATTGTGAATATGATATATTTCTGTCGATGTAATATGAATTGGTTATTTCTTGTTTGATGTGTTGGAAATTTGGAATGGAGTCGGAAATGTTTGATTTGAATATGTTTTGCTTTGTTACAGTTATAACATGATTTGATACATCATTTCGTTTTTGTTGATATCCTAATAAAATTGTCAATTTTGAAAATTCTACTTCTGTTTCAGCTTTGTCTTTGACCCATTTTGCAAGGTTGTTCCAGACATGTTTTACAATTTCACACTCAAAGAACATGTGCATTAAGGTTTGTTTTACTCATTTGCAAAAATTGCAAAGAAATTATTCTTTATATCACATTTTGAACAGTAACTCGTTTGTTGGTATAATTCTATGAATAGTACTGTATTGGAACCATTTTTGTTTTGAGGACACATTATATCTGTGGGGGCTATGATTAATCATTTGCCAATCTTTTTCCGTCATGTTAAGGCCAAGATCTAGTTCCTATCTCTGAATGTAGTATTGGGATAGCATTTTGTTGGAAACCTTATGTAATATATTCTATATCTCCCCCCCCCCCCCCCCCCTCCACTAAGTTTCCAAGGAAATATGGTATTAAGGGCAGATGTTACTTGTCTTTGATCTAAGATCTAGAAAATTTCCACTCTCGTCTATCAAATCATTTACAAGATTAATACCTTTTCCCCGAGTAATGTTTATAATATACCGGAGTGTTCCTGAATTTATATTCGTATTTTGCCATATTTAAAAGGTTGTGATAATATATCTTTTTCCTCTTTGATGGAATTTCCCTTTTTTTTCTATTAAGCTTCCCCATGCGCACAGAACATCTTTCCAAGAATGCATTGGTTCTATCATTAATAACCTTTTCCGAAATGTAGAATTGGCATTTTTGTGCAGAAATTCAACTTGTGTTGGGAATATATACTCAACAACAAAAGTTCCTGTGACACCAATATTTTAGTATATTTCGGTAAAGTTCGGTTTTCAATATTGTAGTACATGTGTGGAATCAAGTAAAAAAACTGCAACTGCTACAGAAAAGCAAGCATTCCATGCAAAAGTTGACTTTTATGCAAGCCCCATGCATTTCACTACCCAAGAATCGGTATAAAAACATGTGCGTTAACAGGATTCCATATGCATTCTATAGCATCGTGCTGACAACAACCACTCAGAAAAACAACAAAATTACGCAATTATTCAACATCACGAAATACCACGCCTGTCCGAAAATGTGTGTCTGTGAGCCATTGGTATGCTTGAAGCAGGATCGAGTCAACGTGATGTTGCAAGACAATTTAACGTCCACAGAAACACAATTTGGTGTTTATAGCAGCGTTGGCAACAGATGAATGCAGTCAGAGACCATCCTCGGAGTGGCAGGCCACGCGTAACCAATAATCAAAAAGACACCAGATTCGAACAACACACCTACAAAATCGATTCCAGCCAGCAACAGTGGCAAAAAGCATCCCTGGCCTTCGACGAATATCTTCACAAACCGTACGTCGTCGCCTCAGATGTGTAGGGATTGTCGCCAGAAGATCCGCCAGACGTCCCATTTTGACAGGAAACCACCGTCAAGCACATCTACAGTGGCGCAGACAGCTTCTACGCTGGACAGCCATGCAGTGGGGACGAGTTCTATTCACTGAAGAGTCTCGTTTTCACCTCCGCCACAGCAGCGGACGGATTCGAGTGTATCAACGTCGAGGTGAATGTTACGTCAATCATTGTGTCATGGAAGAAGATCGGTTCCGGGCGGCAGCGTTATGGTATGGGATGGGATTACAGCAAGACGGAGGACCCGTTTGATAGTGGTAGAGGGAAATCTCAATGGACAGTGCTACCGCGACGAGATCATCGGCCCTGTTGTTCTACCGCTTTTGCGTTGTCATGGCCCAGGCATTACCTTTCAACATGACAACGCCCGGCCTCATATTGCTCTACTTGTTCAGGATTCTCTTCAACAGACAATGTGAATGTCATCCCCTGGCCGGCTCGCTCCCCTGATCTCTCACCAATCGAGCGCATGTGGGATGAGATGGATCGGCGCCTTCGACGTCAACCACGTGTTCCACAGACACAACTTTGCATTAAATCTTATTCAGTGTCACAGGAACTTTTGTTGTTCAGTATATATATTAATCAAAAGAGTGGTAAGTTTAGAGTGTGGATGTGAATGGAACAAATGTTTAATCCAAGATATCTTTTGGGCATTGACTGTATTTTCAATATCGGGCACTCTTATACCTCCCTCTTAAGGTTTTATTATAATATTTCTACTGATTTTGTCTGGTTTATTTTTCCACATAAAATGAAAACACAGCGTTTCCAGTTCTTCTATAAATCTTTCACTTGGATTAGGTAGGGTTGAGAAAAGATGGGTTAGTTTACGTAAAATAAGACTTTTTAGTACAGTAATTCTACCTAATGGGGTCAGGTCACGTGCTAACCAAGAGTTCATGATGATTTTTTCTAGTTTTAAGTTTGCCTTTGCCTTTTTTAAGTTTGCCTGAAGCAAAACCATTAACTAAAACATTAGATATTGTGATAGAAGGTTGTTATTCAGTGCTTAACTGAAGGTCCAAAGTTAAAAATAAAGTCCTAGCTTTTTGGATGAAAATTCAATCTACTGAATCGAACGTCTTTTCAAAGTCTATAAGTAATAACAATCCTGGGAATGTTGTGGTGTGCTTAGTTTTAGAATATTAAGGTCTTTAAACATATCATCTAGGTCTACTCTTCTCTCGGTCTGTTTAGTGTGCAACTGTTAGTAATAACTTCGTTGATGATATCGTTTGTTTCAGTTATGGTATGTCCATTCTTTGTTTCTAGCTTATTTATAGCCTTATTCAGTTCCTTTTTTCTAAGGATAAGAAGTATTCTGTTGTTTTTTTGCCCATTTCTCTTCATTCTGCCCGAGATCACATGATTATTCCTTCTATTTTTATGTTATTTAATCTTTCCAGTTCAGTGTTTACCTCTTTAAAGTTTCTTTAGCATTTCATTTTTTATTTCTATATCCTTTTGAGGTATCTAGATTGATTTGCAATACTTCTGTATGTTTTTGTAAGTCGTTTTCTTTCTGTTCTCGCTTTCCTTTCCTTTCCTTTCCGAGGAGTATTTGATAGTTTGATGTTCTGGAAGACCACAGGGCCGACCCTCTGTGCAAGACCAATTCCACCCCACACCATGATGCTCAGACCCCCCTATGAGTCTCTCTCAACACAAGCACCCGAATAACGTTCCCCCACATGGTCGCCAGACTCTCTCTCTTTTATCTGCTGTTGAGATACAGTAACGGCTCTCGTCTGAGAAGAGGACTCTTCTCCACTGCTGGTAGCGCCAATGCTGGTGCTGTGTTGCCCACTGAAGACGGTCCCGGTGATGACGTGGTGTCAGAATGGGTCCTCGGTGTGGCTTGTGACAGTGGAGGTGTCTGCTCATCAAATGTCAACGCACGGTGTCCGCACTAATGTGTCACTGGTGTGTCTTCCTGGTCTGTCGGGCAGTTTCCGCGGCAGTAACAAAGTGATCTTGAAGATGCTGTCGCACAATCTGACGATCCTGACCCTGGAGGTTGACCCTTGGTCTCATGTGGGTTGTCATTTCTCATTGAGAGCCTGATGCAGCTTCTGCTGTGATGAACAAGCTTATCCAGTCCATACCAAAGTAACATGTGGATATTGTTGGTTCCAGTGTGAGGTCTGGCATTATCATGCTGGAATTATGTACCCTTTGTCTTAAACAAATGGATGTAAGGACATATGGTGTGTAGGCAGTGATACCCACTGCCCACAGTCTCCTGGTTCCTGATTGTTGAGCACCTACAACCCACTGCCCACAGTCTCCTGGTTCCTGATTGTTGAGCACCTAGGACCCACTGCCAACAGCCTGCTGGTTCCTGATTGTTGAGCTCCTACAACCCACTGCCCACAGCCTGCTGGTTCCTGATTGTTGGCCACCTAGGACCCACTGCCCACAGTCTCCTGGTTCCTGATTGTTGAGCACCTACAACCCACTGCCCACAGCCTGCTGGTTCCTGATTGTTGGCCACCAAGGACCCACTGCCCACAGCCTGCTGGTTCCTGTTTGTTGGCCACCTAGGACCCACTGTCCAGTCTCCTGGTTCCTTATTGTTGGCCACCTAGGACCCACTGCCCACAGCTTGCTGGTTCCTGATTGTTGAGCACCTAGGACCCACTGCCCACAGCCTGCTGGTTCATGATTGTTGAGCACCTACAACCCACTGCCCACAGCCTGCTGGTTCATGATTGTTGAGCACCTACAACCCACTGCCCACAGCCTGCTGGTTTATGATTGTTGAGCACCTACAACCCACTGCCCACAGTCTCCTGGTTCCTGATTGTTGAGCACCTACAACCCACTGCCCACAGCCTGCTGGTTCCTGATTGTTGGCCACCAAGGACCCACTGCCCACAGCCTGCTGGTTCCTGTTTGTTGGCCACCTAGGACCCACTGCCCACAGCTTGCTGGTTCCTGATTGTTGAGCACCTAGGACCCACTGCCCACAGCCTGCTGGTTCATGATTGTTGAGCACCTACAACCCACTGCCCACAGCCTGCTGGTTCATGATTGTTGAGCACCTACAACCCACTGCCCACAGCCTGCTGGTTCATGATTGTTGAGCACCTACAACCCACTGCCCACAGTCTCCTGGTTCCTGATTGTTGGCCACCTAGGACCCACTGTCTACAGTCTCCTGGTTCCTGATTGTTGGCCACCTAGGACCCACTGCCCACAGCCTGCTGGTTCCTGATTGTTGGCCACCTAGGACCCACTGCCCAGTCTCCTGGTACCTGATTGTTGGCCACCTAGGACCCACTGCCCAGTCTCCTGGTACCTGATTGTTGGCCACCTAGGACCCACTGCCAAGTCTCCTGGTTCCTGATTGTTGGCCACCTAGGACCCACTGCCCAGTCTCCTGGTTCCTGATTGTTGGCCACCTAGGACCCACTGCCCACAGCCTGCTGGTTCCTGATTGTTGGCCACCTAGGACCCACTGCCCACAGTCTCCTGGTTCCTGATTGTTGGCCACCTAGGACCCATTCCCCACAGCCTGCTGGTTCCTGATTGTTGGCCACCTAGGACCCACTGCCCAGTCTCCTGGTTCCTGATTGTTGGCCACCTAGGACCCACTGCCCACAGTCTCCTGGTTCCTGATTGTTGGCCACCTAGGACCCACTGCCCAGTCTCCTGGTTCCTGATTGTTGGCCACCTAGGACCCACTGCCCACAGCCTGCTGGTTCCTGATTG